TTTTTTTTAAGACGGGGTTTCACCATGTTGGTCAGGCTGGTCTTGAACCCCCGACCTCAGGTGATCCGCCCACCTTGGCCTCCAAAGTGCTTGGATTACAGGTGTGTGCCACCACGCCCGGCCAGAAATTTTTGTATTTTTAGTAGAGACAGGATTTCACCATGTTGGCCAGGCTGGTATCAAACTCCTGACCTCAGATAATGTGCGAGGCTCGGCCTCCCAAAGTGCTGGGATTACTGGCGTGAGCCACCATGCCCACTCAAAGATAGTATTTTTTAAAAATCTACTTCACACTGTTCCAAAAGCCAAAGCACCTGTTCTTTTCTGTGTTCCCATGGTTAAGTGGAAAAGTATATCTAAAAGGGCAGCCTCTGAAAACACTCAGGCCTTGAACACAAGATGGAGACATGTCATCCTGCCCATCCTAGTCACAGCATATGCCCACTACCCATTTCCACCCAGCTGGGCCTGGTAAGCCATCAAGCTTTCCATCATGCCATACCAAGAAGGAATGGCAATATGAACATGTCACAAGGAGCTACACATTACAAAAACTTTTCAGAGAATGAAAAATATTATCCATACCTGAATATATCCTGTGTATCTAAATCAATGTGAAGTCCATTGATGAAGAGAGCTGAATCTCCAGGTTGTAATCCTAAAGTTCCCTTGAAATACTGAAAAATTTTAATAATTATTAAGGAGCTGTGAGAGAATATTTTTTTAAAAATTTCAGTGTTTCTGGGCTTCACTATCTTTACAAATCTTGGCAACCTAAGGCAGGGCTAACACTTGCTTCAAGGTGCCATTGTGATTCAATGGCAAGCAAGACAGGGATAATACCTTAGTGTATAAATATTTCAAAACACGTTGTATGCCACAAAAACATCCAAGTTTTACTTCTTGATTTTAAAAAGAAGAGAAAAAAAAGGAGATCATGGAAAAGTATATCACTTGAAAACTGGAATTTCTTCCAAGAGAGAGAATTCGTATTTACTTACACCTGGATGCGTACACAGCACCCTCAGATGATAACAAAGACGGACCTGGGCCAGGCACAGTGGCTCACATCTGTAACCCTAGCACTTTGGGAGGCCAAGGAGGGTGGAGCACAGGAGGCCAGGAGATGGAGACCAGCCTGGACAACATGGCAAAATCCCGTCTCTACTAAAAATATAAAAATTAACCAGCTACGGTAGCGTGCGTCTGTAGTCCCAGCTGCTTGGGAGGCTAAGGCATGAGAATCGCTTGAATCCAGGAGGTAGAGGCTACAGCTGAGCTGAGATCACGCCACTGCACCCCAGCTTGAGTGACAGAGCAAAACTGTCTCAGAAAAAAATAAAAGATTGACCCTGAGCTGCTGAATACGGTCATATCTACTTCCAGGTATGGATGATGGTAATATAGATGGGTTCATTTTGGGAAAATTCATCAAACTAATGACTGAGGATTTGTGTACCTCTTTGTATGTGTTTCATATAAAATGTATGCATTTTGGGCCGTGCACGGTGGCTCTTGTCTATAATCTCAGAACTTTGGGAGGCTGAGGCGGGGGCTTACCTAAGGTCAGGAGTTTGAGACCAGCCTGGCCAACACGGTGAAACCCCGTCTCTATTAAAATTACAAAAAATTAGCTGGGCGTGGGGGCAGACACCTGTAATTCCAGCTATTCAGGAGGCTGAGGCAGGTGAATTGCTTGAACCTGGGAGGCAGAGGTTGTAGTGAACCAAGATCGTGCCACTGCACGTCAGCCTGGGTGACAGAGCGAGGCAACGTCTCAAAAAATATGTGTGTGTGTGTGTGTGTGTGTACATAAACACATTTTGGCTGGGTGTGGTGGCTCATGCCTGTAATCCCAGCACATTGGGAGGCTGAGGTGGGCAGGTCATGAGGTCAGGAGTTCAAGACCAGCCTTACCAAAATGGTGAAACTCCATCTCTACTAATAATACAAAAATCAGCCAGACATGGTAGCGCACACCTATAATCCCAGCTACTTGGGAGGCTGAGGCAGGAGAACTGCTTGAACTGGGAGGCGGAGGATGCAGTGAGCCAAGATCACGCCACTGCAGTCCAGCCTAAGGGACAGAGCAAGACTCTATCTCAAAAAAATAAAATAAAAAACAAAAATAAAAATATGTATATACACACACATTTTATGCTTTAATAAAATGTCTTACTCAAAATAAAGACTCCATGAAACAGCAATACAGTATAATTTTGTCTTCCTTAGGGGGAAAAAGGCCCTAACTTTAAGATAATATTTGATATTTTTATTTTGGAAATTCAAAAGTAAAAACTCTCAATAAGGTTTTTAAATTTAGTAAACATTTGAGAAACATTTATTCTTCATATGTACTTAACTAATATCTCAGATGTAAAGATTAAGGAAATCTGGGGTAAAGATAGTTAATTGAACATAATAAATTTTTCCCTCCTGAAACTCTATTGAAATGTAAGCAGAGGGACTTTTCTAGTTATAAATCCACAAGGACAAAAAGAACAGGTAAAAAAAAAATAGCCACCAAATTTTGGAAGCTGGAAGAGAGGTGGGTAAGGAGTTACTGTCCCAGCAGATCTGAGAAAGCTGAATGCTAAGCTAACAACAGGAAAGGTCAACAAGAAACCTATGTCACCCTGTAGAATTCACCAACTTCACCAAAGACTGGCAGCACACTGGATATGTACAAAGGGTGATTATCAGCTAAACAACAAGTTCTGATATAAAGACAAAATCCTCCAGCCCCCCAACTGATTTCCCTCAGCCAAATGCTGCAGTCAGTGCTCCCCCTATTCCGGCAAAATGAAGGCTCATTCCCTGGAAAAGATCAAAACAGAACATCTGTGGACAATGGCATATTGAGCACACAGAGGAAAGGGACCCCACAAAGAAAACCGGGAATCAAAGCCAAGTCACCAAATACTCTTCCCTACTTTGTTTCTACTGCTCTAGCAAACAGATTTCACCCTCCAGACGGAAGACTGACAGATCCTTTTCTGGAGACTGACAAACACTGACCAACCCAAAAGAAAAGGGACAAAGTTACTGTCATTGGGGTTCCCTAGGAAATGGTCACAACAGAACACCCTACATAATTAGGATAAAAAAGCCACATAATTAGGATTTCCAACCAGGTCCTCAGTGCCTCACTCTGAGTGTGATCACTGGACACCTGAGGAAGGCCTCCACCACTAAAGAGGCCAAAACCCAAAAGCAGCTTAAGAGGAAACAGATTTTGCAGACAGAAAACACAAGCACCACTGTCTTCAGAGAGACATAGGAACACCACAAAAAGAACAACAGAAACATTTGAAAATTAAATACTTGGCCGGACGCGGTGGCTCAAGCCTGTAATCCCAGCACTTTGGGAGGCCGAGGCGGGTGGATCACGAGGTCAAGAGATCGAGACCATCCTGGTCAACATGGTGAAACCCCGTCTCTACTAAAAATACAAAAAATTAGCTGGGCATGGTGGTGTGTGCCTGTAATCCCAGCTACTCAGGAGGCTGAGGCAGGAGAATTGCCTGAACCCAGGAGGCGGAAGTTGCGGTGAGCCGAGATCGCGCCATTGCACTCCAGCCTGGGTAACAAGAGCGAAACTCCGTCTCCAAAAAAAAAAAGAAAATTAAATACTTGACAACTAAAGGAAAAAAAATACAAACAGGCTGAAAACTCTTCCCAGAAAGTTTTTTGTTTTTTTTTTAAAAAAGAATAGGAAAGAAAAGACTTTTAAAATTCAAAGGCCAAACGAGACAGAGGTGCAACATTTTAAAAAATAAAGAAATAAAGAAATAAATATCTCTAGGAAAAGAGGAAGATAAACCAGAGAAAAGAAATACAAAGAATTCAAGAAAATTTCCCAAAACTAAAGGATTTTCCAGATTTTAAGGGCCCACCAACCATCCAACAGCAGAGATTTTTGAAAAACACATATAATTATGAAATTTTAGATTACTAGAGTCCAGCCAAAGGTTTTTGAAAAACACATATAATTATGAAATTTTAGATTACTAAAGTCAAAGAAAAGATCCTAGAGAGATCTTACACAAGGGCTTCAGACTTCTCAACTGCCACAATGGAAACCAAAATTCCAAGGGGCGATGCCTTGCTTCAAAGTTCAAAGTGACTTCCAACCTAGAATTGTATAACCTGCCAATATTGTACAACCAGCTATCAATAAAAACAAGTAGAAACTTGATTTCTTGGAATTTCAAATTTGCCTCCCAGGCAACTTTTCTCACAAAGAATGATGTGCTGTACCAAAATAAGGAAATAAACCCAAACCAAAGAAGACATGGAATCAAGGAACAGAGAATCCAACAAAGGAGGTTAAAGAAAGGTCCCAGGATGATGACCAGCATGCGCTAGGCATAAACAGCAACCAGTCCACGTCAGACCACAGCAAAGCCAGATAAAATCACAACATCCAATGTGGGGAAGAGGGCGGAGCAGTGCCAATATGGAACAGTGGTGGGACACAGAGGGAGAGGCAGTGAAAGAAAGTTAAGCCTCATCGTTTAACTAGGAGACCAACATACACAGTCTGAACATAAAAAATAAAGTATCAACGTAAGCTAGAATTCTGGAGAGAAATATCAGAAGAATCGGCTAAATGTTGAAAATGAATGTCTTCAGGAACGGGTTGAGACAGGGTAGGGGCACTGCTTTCCTAAACAACACTGTAACACCATTTCATGCTTTCAGTTAGATGCATACTGAACTTCAATTAAAAACTGAAAATACAAAGATCACAGAAATAAAAACCATATCAGCGTCTTAGATAAAAGAAGACTGACACTGTTAAATGCAGCTGATTTAAACCCAGATTTCCTTATGTTTAAAGATAGAATACAAAACAGGAGTCAACATTTTCCATCGGTGAATACCTTCTGATTCTCTTCCACTTCGGTTCTAAGTTCTGAGCTCACAGCTGTTTTTGTTATTGCTCTAAGGAAATAAAAACATGAGTGCTTGGCTTAATATTTGATATAAAGTCGTCAATTTCCATATTCTTAAATATGAAACACATTATTCAATAAATTAGAAAAAATTAAATGGAAAAAACCTTAAATCTTTATAATTGATAAGTACATTTCTTTCTTGGATGTGTGTATTTTTTGTAAGATACAAAATCAAAGAAATGTAGCAGCCATAGCATTATAAAATGAGTGCACTCGTTTCCAAGTTCTTAAACATATGCACCCTATTTCTATATATGATCTCTACTACTCACAGACTAAAGGATAATGTTGAACACACCAAGGCAGCAGATTGCTCTTCCCACTTGAGCACTTATGATGGAGGTGGAATCATTCATGTATACTTTCAAGCAGTATGCTGGACTAAATGAGAATTTACTACGTGTTGCCTAAGTCCCAAATAAACAAACTTAGTTATAAAATATCTAACATCAGAAGTCAAAACACTTAATTCAGCGACTCAAGAAAACTGGAAACCATTTAAGTCAATAGTTTCTAAAACTGTGGCTTTTAAAACAATCTTGCTGGCCGGGTGCAGTGGCTCATGCCCATAATCCCAGCACTTTGGGAGGCCAAGGCGGGCGGATCAGGAGGTTAGGAGTTCGAGACCAGCCTGGCCAACATGGTGAAACCCCATCTCTACTAAAGATACAAAAAATTAGCCAGGCGTGACGGCGTGCACCTATAATCCCAGCTACTCTGCAGGAGATGGAGGTTGCAGTAAGCTGAGATTGCGCCATTGCACTCCAGCCTGGGTGACGGGGTGAGACTCCATCTCAGAAAAAAACAAACAAAAAAAACAGTTTGCCTTGCATTTATGAGATGTGGAGCAATATTACAGAATTGAAAGCAATGTCAGAAAGCTTACAAACAAAATATTTTTTCTTGAGATGGAGTTTTGCTCGTTGCCCAGGCTGAAGTGCAATGGTGCAATCTTGGCTCACTGCAACCTCCACCTCCCAGGTTCAATCGATTCTCCTCCCTCAGCCTCCCAGGTAACTGTGATTACAGGACCCTGCCACCACAGCCGGCTAATTTTTCGTATTCTTAGTAGAGACAGGGTTTCGTTATGTTGGCTAGGCTGGTCTCAAACTCCTGACCTCAAGTGGTCCACCCACCTCGGCCTCCCAAAGTGCTGGAATTACAGGTGCGAGCCATCACGGCTGGCCCACTTCCCGCTTCAGGACACCAGACAAGGCCAGGAGATCACCTGAGGTCAGGAGTTTGAGACCAGCCTGGCCAACATGGCAAAGCCCTGTCTCTACTAAAAATACAAAAATTAGCCAGGCCTTGGCCTCCCAAAGTGCTGGGATTACAGGCGTGAGCCACGACACCCAGCCCAAAAAAAATCTTATTCTGTCACTATGAACCAGTCACTTAGCCTCTATGAGTCAGTTTCTTCAAGATTCAATAAGATGACATACATAAAACCTTTCAGGAAGAAAACCACTATGGTGTGGGATAGACTCTAGATTAGTTATTTACATAAGTAAGACTCATCCAATCCTGAAAGACAAGTATTTTTCTTTCCATTCCACTGCTGAGGAAAATAAGGTAAAGAGAGGTTATTTACAAAGGTCACACAACTAATAAGTGGAAGTGGCAAGAACATAACCTAAATCTGTCACTTCAACCACACAATACATGGTCTTTCCATCTTTATGACACAGAGCACCATCTGCAGTAGTAGTGGTGGTGGTCATAAAGAATCTTAATTTTCTAAGCATTTTCATATTTTTATTACCTCATTTGGCAAGTGAACATGACAATAACTGGGTATGATGTTAAGGAGAAGAGCATTATTCTATATTACCTGGCTTTGGTAGGAAAATTTTGACTAAGATCCTTCATAACAACCAAAGCCAACTCAACAGGAGAAGCCAAGATTCGAGCAGCAGTCTGGAAACTGAGATCTGCAACGAAGTCAAATGTAATTAAAAGTGGATTAATCTAATGCAATGAGAAGCAGAAAAGAAAATTGTATTTACCTCCCACTCTTTTCTGGGTAATTAAGAATGTCTTAGAATGCAATCATTTCAGAGTGTGCCCATGATTTAATTTCAGGTTTTATTCACTTCAAAGATCCCTGAGGGTTCAATTGAGCCATTTCTGATATATCTGCAGAAAACACTATAGCAAACTCGAATGCATGTAGCAGAGGCTAAACCAGACCCAAGTCCTTTTCTTTTTTCTAATTTGTGATGTAAATACATCACAAATACAGCCTTAAGACTCTCAGTAAATTATGTCAGGAAAAGACTTGAAAACCAGTTCTTTGGACAGAAAAATACACACACATCCTACCACACTGACACGTCTTTAATGCTCTGTAGATAAACAGCTGAAGAAATGTATATACATAGGAACTTAAAGACTAGGACCTATTACAAGTTTACGTATGGTCACACAGAAATTTGCCACATGTTTATATATATTACTTCCATCTAGTGTTATCTGTTACAAAAGGACTTCCTTTCTTCCCTGATTAATCATAAGTAATCACTCTTATCCTTAAAATCTGAGGCACCCTCAGAATCACGTACTATATACTATTAAATTCAAATTTTGCATTTTTTAAAGCCACAAAACTTAGCCAAAAAGTAGGACAATGATCTCTCCCTGTTTTCATTACCTTGCAACTGCCAAACTTTTAATGGTGCCATTTCATTGGTGCTCTCTACAAGATGCTTTCTCAGTTCTTTCAACTGTCCCTCCAGGTCAGGGTGCAGGTCTCTAAAAGAAACATAAAAATCAGTCCTTTTCATTATTTTTTCTTTCCCAGAGCACAAGAAGAAGTAAACCACCTTTATCTTCATGGTTTTCCTCTCCCAACCCTAGGAAAGTTTCTATGCTATAGGGGAAAAAATAAAGTATAATTATTTCTTCTTAAAAAAAAATACAGAAAATTAGAAGTTAGTTTAAAAATCATAAAATTTATAGAAAAATTTCTAGAATAGTGATTCCCTATGAGGTAGACAAGGAGACTGAGAGTGGTTAACAAAAGACTTTTCAGGCCAGGTGTAGTGGCTCAAGCCTGGAATCCCAGCCACTGAGGAGGCCAAGGCAGGAGGAACACTTGAGCCCAGGAGTTTCAAGTTAGCCTGTGCAAAACAGCAAGACCTTGTCTTTTTTTTTCTTTTTTTTTTTTTTTTTTTTTTTTTTTTTTTTTTTTTTTTTAAAGGAACAAAGGAAGCTTCAGCTATAACTGCAGTGTTTACTGACCTGTTTTATTTTTTGTTTGGTTTCTTTTGTTCTTAAAGTAAAATAAAGCTTATACTGGGGGGGGGGAAAAAAAGAAAACAATAAATAGTTCTACAGAACAGAAAAGCAAGTATGATAACAACAATCTATTCTGGGTTGTAAGTATGTGGGAATATATTCTCCTCCATGCTTTTGTGAATCATTTTAATCTCTCAAAGTAAAACTGAGGGGGAAAAAACTGCTGCCAGTCCCAAAATGAATTTCTTTTAGCCTACATGCTCATAAATCTTTTAGTCACATGAATACAATTCGGGCTAATTATAGTTACTGGGTTTTATCTTTAAATATAGCATATTCCACCATAGTAAAAGAGAGGTGATCTGGGGCAGGGATATAACATTTACATTAGACAGATAGGTGGCTAGTAGATTACTTTTGTCCTTTAAATGCTATAAACTCAAAATTTCTTAATACAACATACAGAAATTAAACTTCCCTGAGACTGTTCACTGTCCGTCCAACCCATTTCCAGTCAGTTACTACAGGTTGAGCAACCCAAATCCAAAATTCAAAAGCCAAAATCCTCCAAAACCCACTAAATGTCAATATGACATTCAAAGAAAATGATCATTGGAGCATTTCAGATTTCACATTTTCAGACCTGGGGTGCCCAACTCATAAGTATCATGTAAATATTCCAAAATTGAAATCTGAAACTCTTCTAGGGTAAGCATTTCAGAAAAAAAGACACTCAACCTGTACAAACTCTTGAATGCCAAAAAATGAGGCCAGGCGCAGTGGCTCACACCTATAATGCCAGCACTTTGGGAGGTCAAGGTGGGTGGATCCCTTGAGCCCAGAAGTTCAAGACCAGCCTGGGCAACATGGTAACACCCGATCTCTACTACAAATACAAAAACTGAGATGAGAGGATCACCTGAGCCTGGGGAGGTCAAGGTTGCAGCAGGCCATGATGGCACCACTGCACTCCAGCCTCGGTGACAGACTAAGAACCTGTCTCAAACAAACAAAAAAATAAGATCCAATTACTTTGGAAAGCAACTATGCTCACCACTGTACCACCAACGCACCTAAAGATCCAATTACTTTGGATAGCTAAATATCTATTCTGAATGTCTAAAAGGTAAAATAGCCTCAATATTCTATATAATACCTTTGTGCTATGAATGCATAAAATCATAATGCTACCAATATAAACATAAACAACATAAATGTGAAAAAGGATTCTGAAGCTGGGAGTGGTGGCTCCCACCTGAAATCCCAACACTTTGGGAAGTCAAGGCAGGACAATCCCTTGAACCCAAAGTTCAATACCACCCTGGGTCACACAGCAAGACTCTATCTCTACAAAACATTTAAAACTTAGCCAAATAATAAATAAATAAATAAAACTTAGCCAGGCATGGTGGCATACACCTGTAGTCCCAGATATTCGAGAGGGTGAGGTGGGAAGATCCCTTGAGCCCAGGAAGTCAAGGCTGCAGTGAGCCACGATTGTGCCACTGCTCTCCAGCCTAGGTGACGGAGCAAGGCCCTGTCTCAAAAAAAGTTTTTTAAAAAGGATTCTGGAAGCCTAGGTCAAATAAAAATAGAATATAATTATATTCTAATGAGGCCAAAACTGATGTTAAACAAGAAGAAATGTATGTATGTGTAGAATGAACTCAACATGTAATTCAATGTAAACTGAGATATCTCTTCTAAATTGTTAATCTGGTGGCCAAATGTAAGAGCTGAAGTATATAAAACTGAATCTAGCATATCATACACTATTTCTACATGATCACTTTCTCTCTCTCTCTCTATCTATCTCTCTCTCTCTCTCTCTCTCTCTCTCACACACACACACACACACACACACACACACACACACACTCCTAATAAAAATTTCCAGATAAAGTAGAATTCAGGGCTCTAAACAATTATCAAGAGGGAAATAACTACAACTTTTAGAATAACAGCTAAGAAGACTTTCCAGCTATAAAATACTATGATGCATTCATTAAATGATTATGGAATTACAGAATTTTTAAAAATACCATTCCCCTTCACATAAAGCAAATTCTAATAAAATGTTTTCTTCTGGGCCAGGCACCATGGCTCATGTCATGGGATTCCAGCACTCTGGGAGGGTGAGGTGGGCAGATCACTTGAGACCAGGGGTTCAAGAGCAGCCTAGCCAACATGATGAAACCCTGTCTCTACTAAAAGTACAAAAATTAGCCAGGCATGCTGGTGGGTGCCTGTAATCCTAGCTACTCAGGAGGCTGAGGCAGGAGAATCATTTGAACCTAGAGGGTGGAGGTTGCAGTGAGCCGATACTGCATCAATGTACTCCAGCCTGGGTGACAAAGCATGACTCCGTCTCAAATAATAATAATAATAATAATAATAAAATGTTTTTTCCATTGAGCATGTATAAAATTTACTACATCTATTTTTCATTTTTGCTCAGACTATGTTTGAAAAAAACTTTTAAATACATTTTTCTCCTGTAAAAATATTAAGTGAAACAATTCAATTTCTCCTATTACAGCAATCAAAAAATGGTATGTAACTTAATGCCACCAACTGAGAGGCAAGAAAAAGAAACGCACTTAAACTGTGGACAGGTAGCCAAAGTATCAATTAAGAATAATGTGGGACTGGGCACGGAGGCTCATGCTTGTAATCCTAGCACTTTGGGAGGCTGAGGCAGGTGATCACAAGGTCAGGAGTTCCAGACCAGCCTGGCCAGTATGGTGAAACCCTGTTCTACTAAAAATACAAAAATTAGCCAGGCATGGTGACAAGCACTTGTAGTCCCATCCTCGGGAGGCTGAGACAGGAAAATCGCTTGAATCCAGGAGGCGGAGGTTGCAGTGGGCCAAGACAGCACCACTGCACTCCAGCCTGGGCAACACAGCAAGACTCTGTCTCAAAAAATAAATAAATAAATAAAAGTGCTTCAGCATAATAGGAAATCATAAACTGTAGCATAAACTAAGTGGTTGATTTTCCACTTTAGGACTGCATACATAAAGTACTGTTAGGAGATAGGTAAGTCAGACAGTAATGAGTAAGATGACGCTTAAAATGCAAGAAAGCCTGGAGGCTCAAGGAAAATGAGGGCATCTCCCAAAATACACAGAATATACGTACCTTAATTTTCCAAAGAGGAAACCCTGAACCTCATCAATAGGATCATTTTCGCCAATCACTGTGGTGTTTACCTCAGTTCCTATGAAAAAAACAAAAAATATATGTTTCTAATAATTGCTCAGATTAGAAACAAAAATGTTACTAGTCTCATGAACTTCATAAAATTGAATAATATGAAAAAAATCGGAAACCCCTGAAATTATACCATTTAAAATGCTGAGTATCACGATACCCTTTGGCAATAGTTCTTGAAACAAACAAAATAAATGCATTTTAATATCTCCCGTGTTCCTGGATAAAGAATACATTTTCCCCTTAAACTTTGGAAAATTTTATATGCTAAAAATTTCAAAATTAATAGTTTTAAACATTATGAACAAAGAATTTTCCAATTACCAAAATTCTGAAGAATTTATAATTAGTCAAACTTAATCCTAAATACAATTATTGAAGAAAACAGGATGAGGTAGTAGGTTATTTTCCATTTACTATACTACTCAGATTTATTTTTTTATCTTTAAAATGAGCTTAAAAGAAAGAAAAGATAGCACATAAAACTTGTCGAAATAATAAACTCAAAACCCTAGAGTTTTACAACAGAAAATATCCATAGTAAAATGTTCCATGTACAGAAATAATAAGCAACATAAAATTGTTTGTTAAATATAGGATAGTTTAAGATTTCATGTTGGAGTCACAAATGAATGGCTATTTGTAAACTGATAACATCAACAATAGCTGCTATTTAATGAACATTTTTATGCAAACCAATGTGCCAGGTTCTTTTGTTGTTATATATTTTTTTCAGTGTATGAAAAACTTCTTTACTTACACATCTTACCCTTCCCAAATAATGGAAGAGACATGCATCATTACCTGCATTTTACACTAGAGAAAACTGGGACCTAGGTAATTTGCTTAAGGGTCACCCACTCACATGTAACAGAACCAGGATGCAAATATTCAAAATTCTATTACTTTTCATACAGAAACAAACTCCCTTTTAACTCATATTTGAAGAAAACACATTAGTCCTATTTTTACAAATTCACCTTTCACCTGAGTATCATCCTTGGCCTTGTACTCAGTGCTCTTAATGGCCAATTCCACACCATAGCCAGAGAGGTAAACAGGCTCCTTCCTGGGATTCTGCAAGAAAAGCAAGAATTCCACCATCACCACCTCACAGCGTACACGGCTTGACCATGCTAATGTTGCATCTAGCAGCCATTACCTAGGATTATGCACTCAAAATATCTTTAAATTGTTTTTTAAGGATATTAAATATATGGCTAAGAAAGCCCACTAAACAAATTTTTTTAGTTCAAAACCTACCAAAAAATCAAGAGTAATAAAAGCACTTATCTACCATTAAAATATTGATTATAAGTTTTAAGAATCAATTCAGACTGTGTATCTCTCTCCTTATAAAATCCTAGCCTCCTTTTATGTAGGCTGCTACAACTGTGAGACTGGAATTCCAAGGTAGAAGCAAAACCAGATGAATGGACAGCTGAAAAGGCTAAGGTCCCAAACCAAAAGAAATGGAGAAAGAGAAAAAGAAGTTGCAGAACCTACAAAGCAGGGTTATAAACTGATGAGTTCTCAATCCCAGAGGTGCTTTTTAAGGCCCATGGGAGTACAGTTTTTATTAAATTTAAATGCCTTCGAGCAGAGCTTGGGCTGACCAGATGTCACAGGCTCACCAGCATCCTGACTAAAGATGGCCCTTCAGATATTAACATCTATCCTAATAGCAATGGAGGGGATAGAGGGAGAGTTAAAAACTGGACTTCAAGAAAACTTTCTGCTTGTACAAATTTTCATGTAAAATGTTATGGCCAGGCACAGTGACTCACACCTATAATCTCAGCACTTTGGGAGGCTGAGGTAGGGAGATCACATGAGGTTAGGGGTTCAAGACCAGTCTGGCCAATGTGGTAAAACCCTGTCTCTACTAAAAATACAAAAAATTAGCCAGATATGGTTACACACACCTGTAAGCCCAGCTACTCAGGAGGCTGAGGCAGGAGAATCACTTGAACCCAGGAGGTGGAGGCTGCAGTGAGCCAAGATCAAGCCATTACACTCCAGCCTGGGCGACAGAGCGAGACTCCATCTCATAAATAAATAAATAAAATTTTTTTCTTTTTTTTGCATGAACTTAGTACTAAGCTTAATATGATACAGAAACTTTAAGGGCTAACAAACTTTACATTAAATATTTTAAATGACTAAATATTACACAGTCTTAAAAGCTTAATATTACATCAAGTCTACCTATGAAGACTCTGTTTAGAAAATCCTTCCAATTCAAGGCGGCAAAGAGAAAACAGAAGAAAAAAGGTTGAAAAAGAAACTGAATTCAACAGTCAGTTCCATAGTATGATGACCATTACTAAAGTCAGAAAAGATTATTTACATGATTCATTTTGAAATAAAATGTAAACTTTATCAAGCCACTTTTTTAGCATAAATGTTTTATTATATTTCTTCAGAATATGTACAAATAACAGACTCAATGAAACTACTGGATTTCTCAAGGAGTTCAAATAACTAGACTATTTTATAAAAAGGGAGATTATTAGCTTATGTTCTAAGGTCATGTTGGGCAAACTGTATTCAAAACAGGTGTAAAATAAGTCAATACTTACAAATATATAATGTCTGAATACATAACTGATTTTGCCTGCATTGCTTTTTGATATAAGTTGATGGTGAAAATTAGAAAATTCATCAGAGCCAATCTCAGAATAGAAAATCACCACTGGGCTTTCAGGATTAGATGAGGGATATCTGTGATCTCCTTTGAACAATAAAGGTTTGGGTCTGAAAATAAATAATAAAAACTTAAAATTTTATAAATAATTGCAAAACACTAAAAATGTCACAAAATATAAAGTTCTGCTATGAAAATTTAAAGATTATAAGCATCAATATGAAGGATAGCAAGATCTTAAATACTTTTCACTTACTATGATTACTATCGGGAATGAGTTTTATTTATTCATGATTAAAAAAAAACAAAAGTACCTTATAAAAAATACTAACTATAAAATGTAAACACTGGCCAGGCCCAGTGGGTGATGCCTGTGATCATAACTAAGACAAACCTGGGCAACATGGCAAAACTTCGACTCTACAATAAATAACAAAAATTAGCTGGTTATGGAGGCGTGCACCTGTAGTCCCAGCCACCCAGGAGGCTAAGGTGGGAGGATCACCTGAGCCCAAGAGACAAGGCTGCAGTGCTCCATGATCATGCCACTGGACTCCAATTCCTAAACTACCAATTCCTAAAAAGGGAGAAAAAGGGACAAAAAAAGGACACATATTCAAATGACTACTAAAACTTGGGTACAACATAAATAATACGTTTGTTTGTTTGTTTATTTGGGAGATACGTTTGTTGGGAGTACGACATAATGTAATACGTTTGTTTGTTTGTTTGTTTGGGAGATAGAGTTTTGCTCCTGTTGCCCAGGCTGGAGTGCAATGATGCGGTCTCGGCTCACTGCAGCCTCCACCTCCCGGGTTCAAGCAATTCTCTGCTTCAGCCTCCTGAGTAGCTGGAATTACAGGTGCCCACCACCACACCTGGCTAATTTTGCATTTTTAGTAGAGATGGCATTTCACCATGTTGGCCAGGTTGGTCTCAAACTCCTGACCTCAGGTGATCTGCCAGCCTTGGCCTCCCAAAGTGCTGGGATAACGGGCACCAGCCACTGCACCCGGCCAATATAGTATGTTATACTATGTTATATTTTGAAAAGTCTCAGGCTGTCACCCAGGCTGGAGTCCAGTGGTGTGTGATCTCTCAGCTCACTGCAGCCTCGACCTCCAGGGCTCAAGGAGGGACTACAAGTACACATCACCATCCCTAGCTAAATTTTATATCTTTTGTAGACATGAGGTTTTGTCATGTTGCCCAAGCTAGTCTCAAACCCCTGGCTCAAGCAATCCACCCATCTCTGCCTCCCAAAGTTCTGAAATTATAGGTGTGAACCACCATAGCTGGACAAGTATATTTTTCTACCATATATATAAAATATGATTACCTTTTTATTTAAAAACATAAATAATGCAAAAAGCAGAGAATGACATCAAGCATATTACTTACCAATTTACTAAGTCTATTTCCTCTACTATTTTTACTACTATGATCTTCCTAATGAATGTTTTTGTTTCTGTGTTTGTTTTGGAATCAGGGTCTCACTCTGGTGCCCAGGCTAGAGTGCAGTGGCGTAAACACAGTTTATTGCAGTCTCTACCTCCTGAGCTAAGGTGATCTTCCCACTGTAGCTTCCCAAGTAGCTGGGACCGAAGGCGTGTGCCACAACACCCGGCTACTTTTTGGAGAAACAGGGTTGCACTTTGTTGCACAGGTTGGTCTGGAATTCCTGGGATTAAGCGATCCTCCTGCCTCAGTCTCCCAAAGTGCTGGGACTACAGGCTTGTGCCCCTAATGAACTTAATATTTCAGTTTTTCTCATAAATTTTAGAACTTTCCTCCAAAAAATTTACCTAAGGATGGCATCAAGATATTAATAGATCTTAATGCAGAGACTTTATGACCTACCAATCTCTATTATAATAAACCATATAATTCAGCAGAAAGCAAAGATATGAATAAGGATGCTAAATACAGCCTTATTGTAATGGGGGAAAAAAAGAAAATGACTTAAAATCCATCAGTAAGAGGTAAATTACCAATTATGGGACACTCTTACATACATTACGCATGTGTTAAAAATAATGAGGTACACCCGCTCATACTAAATGGAAAGATGCCTTTTATAAAAATAAAACTACCTACATGTATACATTTAAAACCATAGGAAAAAGTCTGAAGGTATATATGCCAAATCATTAAAAGTAGTTACCACCTCTCAGAGAGGAGACACTGTTGTTCTTTTCTTTATAAAGGTGTGCGTTATTGTTGTAGCAAATTGAAGTTTTTAAAAGAATTACAAAGCCACCAATTTTGTTTCCCCCAAGAGGGAGCACTACTGTATTACCATGCAGCTATTTCTGAATGTCCATGCTTTGACTCTGAGAAGGCTGGAACACACGCTATGCTTTTTGGTTGGCACTCTGAGTGAGAAGCACAAATGCCATTTGGTGGGCAGAGGATGGGTGCTGGGCAGACAATGTCACTAAAGAAGACCTACACCACTAACTGCCACTAGCAGTACTGACAGGGCAGGCCAACCCCACATAGAGATCACTGTTCTATCTATGAACTGCCTTAGAGGAGGTACAGGGGGCTTGCTGCCCTAGCTAGAGAGCAAAATGATACACAGTAGAGTTGTCTACCACAGGAAACCTACCACTGGGCAAAAAAGCTGGTACGATAGTTACCAAATTAGTATTCAAATCAAGCCTGCAATTATCTTTCAAATATCCTCCTTTGTCTAAAACTAATTATATCCTGAGAGATCATTATCATTAATATCATTACTTCAGGCACTGGCTTTAATACACATAGTGTTCCTTACTAAGCTAAAGACAAAGCCTATGTCATTGCTCAGATACAGTCATTACTAAATAACAACAGTTAATACCAAATACTTTTATTTCCATTTTGAAATAAGATTAGGAAAGTAATTTCTTTCACAAAACTACTTTAAGTGATAGAGCTGAGATTCAAATCTAGTCAGTCTGGTTCCAGAAGCCATACTTTAAACCACTATACCTAATAATACAAAACAGATGAGAAAATCAGAAGGTAGACTAAATACAGAAGCAGCACTGGAAATGCATATGAAAATAAACACAAATTCATGTGTGGTGGCTCACGCCTATAATCCCAGCACTTTGGGAGGCCGAAGTGAGCAGATCTTGAGGTCAGGAGGTCGAGACCAGCCTGGCCAACATGGTGAAACCCCGTCTCTACTAAAAATACAAAAATTAGCTGTGAGTACTGGTGCATGCCTGTAATCCCAGCTATTTGGGAGGGTGAGGCAGAAGAATCGCTTAAACCAGGGAGTCAGAGGTTGTAGTGAGCCGAGATCGTGCCACAGCACTTCAGCCTGGCAATAGAGCAAGACTCTGTCTCAAAAAA